TTCCGTTAGCAGCTACTAGGGGGAAAAACGGTTGGTCTTTTTTTTTCTTTTTTTTTCAAGTGAGTCCCATGAGCTAATGTTTACAGTGAGCTGAGATTTCTGGAACATTTGAACTCAGTTCAATCTGGATTTGATCGCACCGCCTGTAAATTACAGCGTTGAACAGACACAAGGGGGAATTGAGACGGGATTTGCCCTCAAATCAGTTTTACTGCAACAATCGGGGTCAATAAAGAGACCTGGAGTCTCAGCTCGAGTCCTAAAATCCGAGATGGTGAGAGGAATAGTTTCAGTCATCATTTACTCACTCTTATTCTTTCAAACTTGTAAGACTTTCTATCTTCTGCGGAACACAAAAGAAGATATTTTAAGAATGTGTGAACTCTTTTTTTGCCCTTACAATGAAAGTCAATGGGGTCCAAAACAACTTATTGAACAGACAGAATGTACTGAGACATATTTGTTTCAAAGAAGAAAGGTTTGGAACAGTATGAGGGAAAATTTTTGGATCAACTGTTCCTTTATGTCTGCTTTCATTTGCCTGATTTGGCTCAGTTCTAATTGACTCTCAGGTGAATCGATGAATGAAATTGGTATAAAACAGGGATGGAGACATTGATGCGAGAGCAGAGGGAAGGAAAAACATTAGAGTGCAAGTATGCCAAGTAAGGGTGGGGGGGGGCAGGAATAAATAGCCCTCTGGGATCTATTCTTCTTGTTCAGCGCATCTGCCAGGGGCCGCATGAAACCCAACGCCAGCCAGTGAGCATGTGCAAAGCCCTGAGCCCAATGGAGATTTATTTCGGAGTGACTTCATGCTTCAGGTGTCACCCGCACCTCTCAACCCTAGACCATCAATCCACAGAATGGACTGGAGCTCTGATGTTTATTCCAAAATTTCCCTCAAAAAGGTCATTGATTTGGACCCAGAACTGTGGTGAAAGAAACAAAAACGCGTTTCAAAATGTAACAACTTGCTCCACCCCTGAAATGAAATCAATCAATCACCTGGATCCATTCTGATACTAAACGGCCACTTTACACCATCCAATCATTTCCCTGTGGACTTAATCAAGTACCGCCCTATTTTTATCTTAAAGTCTTGATTCGCTAATAATACATCAGATTATTGCACTAAAATGGATTGTGAATGCTTTTTCAACTTGGCATCAGTGCATTTTTGCTATTCTGAACTTCTGTTACATCTTGTCTTTCTCTAAGCAGCAGAATTGAGCTGTTTCGTTGAGCAGTCTTTTCTAATATCAGACTGTTTTAAACGTGAGTTTCTTTAAAGTGGTGCTGTTGTATAGCGTGTGAGCGCGTGGTGTGTTTTGAAGAAGGCTCACAGGAGGCCGATGCTTTTTCGGCAGGAGACTGGAGAGATCTTCCTCTCTCTCGAGCTCTGAATCGACAGGGTTCTGCTGTCTGATCCTCGCTCCACCTCTACCTCAGCCAGACGCTCTTATCAGACACAAACACATCTGCCGTTGCTCTGCACACACACAAATGCCTGCACAACCACCGTCCATATCCTTTGGACCACCATGAGAACCAATCAAACACATATAAACACACACATTCACCTGGAAATTTAAAAATGTATTTTTAAAACCCACATGTACAGCAGTTCTATGAGGTCCTTTGAATTGCATTGCATTTTAATTACTTTGATTAATCACTTCCTTAACCTCAAATATCAATTCTGCATCAAAGTAAATGTTGACATATTTTTTAGTGATTTTACTTATATTTTTCATCTATATACAGCTATACTGATATAATGTAAAAAAACGGCTCATTAAAAGGATGAAATATTTCTTATGATAATAAATATTTTAAATAATTTTAACACAATGTAATGAATATAGTGAAAGCATTAACGTTTAAAGATTTTTTGAAAAAAGCAAGCATGAATGTCCACCCATAAACCTAGCCCTCAGTGAAGCATAAGGAGATCGTATGAAAACCTATTACTAAAATCTTAAAAATTCATTTGAATTCATCAACAATTTGCCAAAATGTAAAATAGTTGTGAATTCCACTGAGAGTGAGCATTAAAAAAAAATTTTTTTAAACATTATTTATTAATTAATAATATATTAAATGGTCAAGTTTACACCAAATTTACTTTGTGTACATTTTGTCAAACAAAACTGTTTGCCTTGAAAAATATATATTTTAAAACCTTTTGTTAAAAATTCTTATACTTGATGACTACTACTCCACATGACATTTTTAGAGCCATTAAATTGAAAATGTTTCTTGAAAATGTTATAAATGTTTTTCAAAACTAAATGGAACAAGCATGAATAGAAAGTGTATATTTCTAGGATCTTGACAATATATTTTATACTAAATTTTTTCTTTGTCTTTACCGTGAACATTCTTATGTGTCATTAACTCAAGTATGTCTTGGAGAAACTGTGTGTCGGCACGTGTGGCATAAAGGGACCATGGACCCCGAGTGAGTGATGAAGGACTGTGTGTTTGCTGTAATCTTCACTGCAGACCCCTGGGGAGCCCCGAATGACGTGGTGGCCCACGGTGAGATTATACTGCACTGCGCTGGAATGGGTGGAGAGAACAGGATCCATCAGTACTGTCAGCGCCCAGTCCAACAAACAACACCCAACATCTGACCGGCACATATAATATTTTGTGTATTTTACAGTCATCAGCATGTATTAGGTATATACATGATTTACTCTCACTCCCATAAATACTCAATGACACTCAAACACACACTCCCTTGCCATTTACAGTGAGAATGTGCCACTCTTCACCTCACCTTAACAATGTGTGATTTCTCTCTCTCTGGATCTCACAATTGACCCAGATTTCACTCTCTGGTGTTCCTGCACCCACACATAATCGCTTTTGTTTTATGCTTTTGTATTATTTTCATACTCAAAGCCTTTAAGCTTTCTTCAGACAAAATAACATGGGAACGTGTGTGCTTTGAAAGCTCACGTTATATTCCAGACACAGTCATGTCACCTACTGCTTTTCTAATCAGCTGCCGGTGCTGACCACGGGATCATGACTGATGCCCCATCTGAAGCCCCATCTCCCTCCCGTTTCTACTTCCTGCTGCTTCACAACCACCTGATTTCATATTCACTTTTTATCTAAAGTGTCATTAATTGGATTAATTGTAGAATGAAACCCATAGAGGAGGAAATTACAGGGTTTGGGTGGGAATTAATATCTCACACTACAGAACACACACACACACACACACACACTCACTAGCAGCACACAGACACGTGTGGCCTAATCTCAAGATGCAGTAGTAAAATGAAAATTTATGTGGCAGTGTTGATAAGAGCAAAGGATTCTTATCTGAGTCCAAGATAAATGCTGAATCTTTTGTGCTGCCTTTAAAAACTGGTATTTTTTTCAGTCTGTTATGCTAAGAAGGTGATGCAGCTGAAAAATGAAATTAAAGAAAGTAAAGATGATGAGACGTGAATAGAGGAGGATGCATAGTGAATCATATGGATATATTTGTATGGAACAAACGAGGAGGTCTGTAATACTTGGATCATTGCCATTCATTTCAAAATTCAACATGCATCCAGTATTTTGCTCATGTGCATCCAGTTCTGGACATTATTTGGAGCCAGTCACTCTGGAACCGTGAAATACACTCTCCGAAAAAAGGTACAAAAGTCACTGTACAAAAGTCTTTGTACCTTATTTACCACTAACAGATACATCTTAGTACCTAAATGGCACATATTGGAACCCTTTGAAAGGGTTCTGCCCCAGTGACACCTTATACTTTTTTTTCTGAAAGTGTATCACGACATATCTCCTCTTCTGAATTGTAAAAATCTGGTATTATTGGCTGCTGTGTGTCTCTAGTTGAAGGAATGTTTCCTGTGTCCTGTTATCTTCATTGTGGATAGCAAACAAAGGATCTGGAGAAGGTCAGCTGAGCATGAAGTCACAAGCTGATATAGCATCTGTTCAAATGTGTCTTTCATACTGAGGAATGTGAAACTGTGATTGAAGATTTGATTTTATATACATTTTTATCTCTCTCTTTATTGTGAGATGCTTGATAAGTGGTCAAGATTGGTCAAAAGAACCAAGCTACTGTCTAAACAACTGAGGTTAACTTTTACATCACATGACCTTTCTACTGGATTGATCTACTTAGTGAAATAAAAAAAAACATAAAAAATATTATAAAATAAATCCATAACTGTGTAGAAAACATAAAAATTTGAGTTATTATTCACTGATAATATATCATGTTGTCTTTCACAGAAGAAATAAATATACTGTAGGGTTGAAATAGCATAAAGGTGAGTAAACTATGAAAAAAAAAAAAGTTAATTTTTGGAAGAACTAGTCCTTCAACCTTGAACAATGGATTTTTATTAAAGAACATACAGTTGTTGAAACTTCTGGAATAACGAAATTAATCATGGTTAATTCATTTAATACACCAATACTCCTAATTTATGTTAATGAAAAAAAGTGTTTGAAAACAAGCAGCTTTGTCATAAATGCATAAGAAATACCAAAAATAACACCAGTCACAAAGGTTGAGCACCACTGTTCTAGAATGATAACATGTAAATGTGATAATGTTTTTTTGTTGTTGTTGCAATAACACGGTAAGTTAATGAGTTGCACGCCGACACATTTTGGAACGCAACGTACGTGCGTTACGTATATTCCTGTCTTGAAAATCACATTACACGGCAAAACCGACTGTGCAAATCAAAAACACACATAAAACGATTCAATCATAAAAAGCAACACACCATGAAATGCCAAGCCCTAACAAAACACACAAGACAAACACTTGTTGTCACAGACGTGTTGTCACAATGTTTCACAATATAGCATCCCCGCCGGTGACGAGCCTGCATGCTATTGGCTTTGATCTCTGCCCATCATCTCAGGCGCTGATTCATGTGGTGAAAGCACTAGCCCCGCCTCACAAAACCTACGCGCTGATTGGCCACCCGGCGCGTCCGCGTCGCGCATGCAGCCAATGCGCTGGAGACGGGTCGGGCGCTCTCGGAGGTTCCTCAGAGAAAGCGCACTGGTGGCAGTACGGAGCGGTAGCGCGAGCTCAGTACAACGAAGAGAACCCAACGAGTCCACATCGTGCGACTTTAGCGAAGGGAGAGAAAGAAAACGAGAAAGAGAGAGAGAGAGAGAGAGAGAGAGAGAGTGCGCCTGCATCTTAAAACCAGCCGTTATATCTGGACAGGGTCGCCGAACGAGGGATTTGATCAGCACCGTTATTTTTCTTTTGTGTTTTCTTTCTTTTTTTTTCTGGAGAAGGATTGTGAGCGTTTGTGTGCAAAGATGATGGTCGGGGAGATAGAGGTGAAGGAGAGACCGAGGCCGAGTCCCGACTATCTCATGCAGTTATTGAACGAGAAGAAGCTCATGACTAGTTTACCGAACCTGTGCGGCATCTTTACACACCTGGAGAGACTCTTGGACGAAGGTACGTTTGTGTAAACCTGAACCACGAGTGTGTATTTGGTGTTTTGCAACTTCACAAAACTATCTGTTTTCAGCGAAGGAGACTCAAAATGACGGTTAAGGTTTCTTTTTTAAAGTAGACTTTGCGTTTTTGGGTCTGATTCTAAACGGTTAAACCGCTTTGTACCGTAATTTACCGTTAGAATTTCAAAGTATTTTTCCCCGTCAGTTCGCGTGTGAGGGTCGCTAGCGCTGTTAGCAGTCTGCTAAATCCACAACTTTTACACGTCGTCATATTTACTAACTTTCACTTATTTACAATCAAATGTAAGATCTTTTACGAGTTTATTGTTTCTCTAAATGTTTATTTTGTGTTGTAAACGACATATTACTAGGCGTTTCAACGGTTCCTAACTTTTTTTTGGGGTGTGAGTGGCGTTAGCCGAAGTTAACGTTAGTAAGTTAGCTGCACAGAAGAAACTTCACGTTTATTTTTCGATTGAAATCGCATTATTACATGTTTATTTATTCGGGTATGAAAAAATGTATATCTGTACTCAACACAAAGGATTTAATCAGAACAATTAGCTGTTTGTTTGCAGATTAAGATTTTTTTCCCCCGAGGCGTGCAGTTGAGTTTTGCATAAATGCTCCCTATGGAGAGAGGGTGAAAGAGAAACACATAAATGCCTATACACAAATGTGTCAATAGTACAACATAAACCACTGTTTTTAATCCCAGATTTTTTTTTCATATAAAGCTTAATTTTTACCACACAACCTGAGAGAGGGAGTAAGAGTCTGCGTGACTGATATGCAGCAGGTTTCTCTCTTAATGCAGTTTGAGTGTCTGCACCGTCACTCACGCGCTGTTCGTGTCTGAAATGCATGTAGTTTATAGTAAGGCATTAATCTCTTTCTGTTCCGTTCCGGAGAGGTTTGAATCCCCCCTCACACACATATCCAGTATCTGTCTGTATTAGTTTCATGAAGTGCACGAATGCTCGTGCTATTGACATGCAAACACGCGGCTCTGTTTATCTTGTAACAAAAAGGGACGAGCTGCCGCAAAATCTGCCGCAATGTTATCCAATATCAGCTTTGTTTGCGCTCGTATTCTCTCAGCTTGTTGCAAAATCACACTGTGCGTCACCGGATAAACTAGTTTGGTTTGACTGATCACAAGTCCACATTCCGACACTCAACCCCAGGAACCACACTTTAGATTGGGAGTTTGGTTTTGACTTTGTCCAGACGCACAGCTGAACTTCTGCCAAGTTCCGGACTTGACTTTTCTTTTTCTTTTTTATGTTCAATATGGATGGTTAAAACAAAAAATATTTGTTGTTTGTCTCAATATTTTGGGTTAATTTAAAAATACTGTGGTTAAATGTAAAAAATGTTTTCTATTGCTCTTTGTTTTAAAAACATTTTTTTATTCTTATGCAGAATAAGACATGCAACATATTATTTAGTATTCTATGCAGTAGGGATGTAACGATTCACTCAACTCACGATTAATATGGATTCACTTTTTTTTTTTTTTTTTAATTATAGGATAAAACTCGTTTTAAAGGGATAGTTCTGAAAATGAAAGTTCTGTCATTTATTCAATGAAGAATGTTGTTAACCAAACTGTTTTGGTGCCTATTGACTTTAATTATATGGAAAACAACAACAGCACCACATTTTTCAAAATAGGCTCTTTTGTGTTCCACAAAAGCAAGTCTAGAATAGTTTTGGAAAGACATGAGGGTGAGCAAATGTCATAATTAAAATTGTTGCTAGAACTATCACTTAAATAGTTTAGTATGTTGACTGTGATGAGCTACCAAGCTATAAAAGTTCTTACATCTACAGTAGGACTCTTTCCTCTCTTTAAATATGTAAATGGCACAGATGTGTTTCCTTAAGAAGTCTTCTTGGTCCTTTAGCATCTCCATGAGAGAATTCTCATGAAGATGTGTGCTCTTGACACCAAACAGTGAGGTGTTAGTTCCTCCTGCAGTGATACAGCCTCATGTTTGTGTATCTGGACTCATTCTGCTCTGTTTACCTGAACTTTGCTCTTCTCTTGCTGTAATCAGTTCTCCTCAATCCACTCAAAAATGAGCTGAAACCGCAGAGGACAACTTCATCCTTCCTTTTTTTTTCTCTGACACACATTTCTTTGAACACACACATGGATTGGACTAGGTGTAAAATCTCTGCTACGCTCAGCTAAATTTGCATACTGATTTGGCTATGCAAATGAGCAGCTCAGGGTGATGTGGGCCAGTCGTGTATTTGTAACGGTAAATACTCCGACTTAATACGTAGGGAGGGAAATTTGTACAGCTACACACAGCGTCTGCTATCTCTCCTGACCTTTGCTTTACATCAGACTGATATGGGTTTTTAAATGCCTGATACTAATGTCTAGACAGCAGCGTGATATAATTAAATGAATAATATTTATTAAAATCCGAAAAAGTGTTTGAGGATGTAAGATGTGCAATATTGATTGGCAAAGCTGGCGGTAGTTTGTGGCGCTGAACAATTTTTTCTGTTAATCAGACAACATTATTGATGTGAATAATCACAAAATTGACAGATTGGCTGATGTGTTGGTCTGTCACGAGTTTTAGAAAGGACATGTGCTCCATCTTGACTGTGTATTGCACTGATCTAAGATCAGGTTTCACTCCAGATCTGTGCTGTCACAGGTGAACAAGGGTGAGAATGCAGATTAGCTGAAAAAGGCATTAGCAGAGATTGAACTGAGAAGGTTAGACAGATGATAGTATTTTAGGTACTTCATTAAGCATTACTGTTATTACTGTGGTGTGTTCAATTATGCGTAAATAAACCACAGACTTGAAAGCTTTTCAATGCAGCTTCACACATTTTCTGCTGGATGAAAGAAAGACAATGTGTGAAGGTCTGGAGGTGAAATGTTTCTCTGAAATGGCTTTCTCAGTTGTCGTCTTGTAAGAGTTCTCATGACAGCTGTGCAGAAACGCTCATAACTCGAATGGATTGTGTGTGTTTGCAGCTGTTGTCATGGCAAAGGAAAACCAACACCCTTACGTCTCCCTCGTCACCCTTTCTGTTCCCCACACAAGACAACTGCTCTCCCTCCCTCTCTCCACACCGTTCGAGTGTGTGTGTCAGGCTGACGAGAGAAAGACAGGTTTGCAGCGTGCTTGTGATCTTCAGAGGTGACCCTGAGGGTGTTTTTAGAGCTGTCTTTGATAAGTTAGTGGCAGCTGAGTCCAGTGTCAGAACTCAATGCAGGCGGTGTTCAGAAATGGACACAGCGATGGAAGTAAAGAGTCAAGGTTAAAGATCTTGATTTTTTTTCACGGTCATACAGGTTGTCAGGAAATTATTCTGTCTTGAAATGGTTTGTGTTTTCTGTGGCTCTGACAAATATGTGCTGAATTTTCAGCAACCATTACTCCGGTCTTCAGTGTCACACGATCCTTCAGAAATCATTCTAATATTCTAATTTGGTGCTCAAGAAACATTTCTTAATGTTGTAAACAGTTGTGCTGCTTAAAATTTTTGTGGAAATCATGATGCATTTTTTTTCTGAATGAATAAAAAGTTCAACAGAACAGCATTTATTTAAAATAAAAAATCTTTTGTAACATTATAGATGTCTTTACTGTTACTTTTGGTACATTTTAATGCATTTTTCGTTAGTGTAGCTGCATTTATGATACAGTCCTCTGGAATAAATATAAATCTTGATTCTGATTTGTCAGTGTATAAACTGTACAAGTACCAATTAACTACAACCATGAAATACAGTACTCTAAAAGTACAGTAATTTAGATGAAGCATTCGTATTTGAGGTCTTTCCAGGTGCTAACAGGAAGTGATTCTTATAGGCTGGGACCTGTGGGACCTCTTACAGCATCTAGTTTAATTAGCTAGCTAGATCCATTAGCCTAGGTTCTCTGCTCGAGCCAGGGTTCAGTAGATTGAATGTGCAGATAATTTTATTCTCTCTATCTTTGTTTCTCTCTCTTTTTCTGTGTCCTGCTGGGCGGTGATAAATTGGATAGCAGGAAGAGGTTGACAGGGTTAGCGCAGGGAATAGAGGAGTCTCGCTGGTGTGTGTGTGTGTGAACTGGCCCCTGACTCGGCCCTTGTGTGGCCCCTGATAAAGTCATGTCTCTGTGTGTCAGGCGATGCCCCTTTATCAGGTGGTCTCTCTGACAAGCACAGGGGTTTCTTATCAGACTGCCCTGCCAGCACCACTGTCTGCCAGACACCGCACAGACACCAGCACACACCCTTCAACAACTTTTCCATCCATGTACAGTGAAGAATTTATTTTGTTGGTTCAGTTGTAGCTCTCGTTGAATCAGATCACAACTTCTGTTTCGCCACCGTAGCTGGGAGCATGATAAGCTGAAGCTGATGCAATGATTCAAACACGGTCACTAACTTCCTAACTACACTCATGCTCATGTGCTTCCCGTAGGAGGGCTTTCATGGGCCAGCTCGCACAGGAACAGGCTGATTCAGTGTTTTTGAAAGGGGAGGAGTCCTTTTCATAAGAACAGAAAAACAGTTTCTTAACAAAAAGTCATGCTTTATAGCATGAGGCAGCGTGTGTGTCTGTAGTTGTACTGTGGTTAGGAGCGGTTGGTCTTTAGCCTCGCTCTCTCGCTCTCTCTCTCTCTTCATTTTGTAAACATCTTAACATTTGCTCTTATCAGGCATGCAAGATATTGAGTTTATGAATCTCTAACTTGAGTTTGGTCCTTTTGCAATTACTCTTTCTAGAGTTTGTGAATTGCTGTATTGCATTATTGTAGGTCTGTTGAAGTTCAGCTCCATTAAGCAGACACATGTTCCCGTGGGGATGTGATGTGATGTAGTCCAGGCCAGCTCTCCTACTGGAGCTTTCTCACTGGGTCACTGACAGCTCTCACCATCTTGAATGATCATATCCCATAATGCCTCATCTGTGCGTTTTCCAGTGTCATGCTCTGCCCTGTTCACATCAGTGTGATCCAATGCTTTTGT